CAGAGAATGTCTCCCCAGGGCCTCGGTGGAAGGCTGGCCCCGGCCCACCTGGCTCTCGGGAGTGATGGGCAGCCCGGTAGCACCCAGAGAGGCGGGAGGGAATGCAGGCCAGCGAGGAGAGAGTGGACACCGAGACAAGGCCAGCTTGTTTGCGCCCCTTCCCCTCCTGCGGTAGGTCTCTCGTTTCAGAAGACCGGGCCATTTCCAAATCCCGGGGGAGGCGCTGCCAGGTGGCATGTTAGGGCAAAGTGAGGGAACCGGACCAGCAGGCCACCCGCTCGGTGCTGACCCGGAGGAGAAAGGATTGCACAGGAAGGCTGGGTCCAAGGTCAGCAGAGGGTGCGTCCTCATGGGAGTCTCGGAAATGGCCACCGATGGCTCGCCCTGGCTGCTCAGTTATTCTCGGGCCTGAGCTAGAAGCCTGAACCTGATGCGTTGTTTTGAGGGTCCACTCGGCTCTAAAAACCAAGACTGAGCTGGTGCTACATGGGTGATGAAGCGGGGGTGGGTGGAGGTGGGCGAAAAGAGGAAATGGGACAAATATGGACACTTGCGCTTGCCAGAAGGGCCTATGGAGACGGCAGGAAGGTGTGGCCAGTGCTGGCAGCAGAGAGGAAGTGGGGTCCCTGGCCTTTCCACTTCCCTTCTCAGGGTTCCCAGGGAGGAATTTCCGCGGAAGGCCTCAGACGTGGGTGAGGAGGTCTGAAGTGAGCAACAGGCTGGAAACAGATGGCTCCCACCACGGAGGGGAGGAGGGCACGCCTCTGAGGGCAAGGGCAGGGCTGGCCTCCGTGCAGAGGGCCACCGGGCGCTACCGGGCCCTGCTCATGCCTCTCCTTCCCAAGAGGGAACGTGGAATGTTTGCCCACCGTGGGCCAAAGTCAGCTCGAGTAGAGGAGAAACACATGGGATCTATTACAGCATCAACCTGTGGCTTGGAAAAGTCAGCTCTTAGCCCTCACCATCCCCTTCTCCCGGCCATTTCTGAGTTTCTGTTTTTCCGTTCAAAAACTATGGAGTAATTCAATATACCGTAATTCCTCTCTCATGTTTACATGCATACTGTATCTCGGGAACCAAATTCCACAAAGGGATCTTGTGCAAAAGAAGCGGGAAGGGAGGAACCACCAAAGAAACCTCAAAGGAAACAAACCGCTACCAACAGGAAAATTATATGAAACTTCTGAACGTTTGCAGAACCCTTACATTTTCCTTTGGGCTGCCATTGAGATAGAAGCCCCGCCCCCACCCTCCACCCAGCCAACCCTGCTAACCCGACACCATATATTCGCTCCCTATGCATTCTACTTTTGGCCCTCAAACTATCTTAAACATGTCTTGGAAGATTCTCCAAGTCTCCTTCTCCTCTTGATAAAACAAAAACAAGTTCATTAAAATGTCAGGATTCTGTATTCCACTCACCCTGACCAATAGTGTCCCTCCACCCACACAATGCACAAAAGCACATTCCTACAAGCATATGCATTAAATTATCATTTTTCAGTCACACAACTTCAGCATTTATTTTTGGCTTCCCTCCCATTCTTCTTCGCAGCCTTTTTTTTTTTTTTTTTTTTTTTTTTGAGTTGGCCACTCCATCAGCGCAGTCCCTCCGACTGTCAGGCCGCTGTGTGTGCGGGTCCGGCAGACTCCACCGTCCACCTATGGAATCGGCGTTGCGTTTCTTAATGTCTCCATCACTTCCCAAGTCTCTTCGCCAATTTTCCCTCATTTTGTTTAATGAACATTTAATAATGGTCAGTAATTTACTGTCAATGGAGGCTGTCAAGCATGAACTTCCAGCCAAAAATGCCAGGTGTTCCAAAATTTGTGGTTTGTTAGGAATGTCCTCAGACTCGCTCCTTAGCGGTATGACTTAAAACCTGTCGCACTTTTGGTCTCTGCCAATTGTTTCCATCGAACGTGGGTATGTTTAGGAGACGGGATGAGAGGAGTCCAGATTTCCCACGTGACGAGGAGGGGCCCTGTGCCTGGGAGGAACTGAGGTGCCTTTTGACACGTCCGCTTTTGTCACTGACCTGCACTCACACCCCACGGAGGACTCGCGATCCACCGAGTCATAACTATGACACTTTCGCAATCAGTGGTGGTGAGAAACAGGGAAATGCAGGAAATTAAGGAATGGTTAACTGCTGAGTTAACCTTGACTATGGGGCTCCCTGAACCATGTCACTTCCAGATTTTCACCTGACTGTATTGTGAAGACACAGCTTAGCAGGAACGAGGATCACAGATGTGGGTTCTAACCACGGGAAGTGAAGGCTAGAGAAGAGGACTTCTCGGAGGAGGAGTCCTCTTTAAATGGGCCCTTATGCCCGGCTGTGGTGGCTCAGTGGTTGAACTTTGACTATGAACCAGAAGATCACAGTTCAATTCTTGGTCAGGGCACATGTCCAGGTTGCGTGCTTGATCCCCAGTGTGGGGCTTGCAGGAGGCAGCTGATCAATGATTCTCTCTCATCATTGGTGTTTCTCTCTCTCTGTCTCTCCCGCCCTTCCTCTCTGAAATCAATAAAAAAATATATATTTTAAAAAATGGACCCTTATCTCAGCTGATGATCACTGGGTTCATGCCCACAGGGCTGTACAGGTAGTTCCAATACTGATAGGTTGGAAATGGCCATTGCCCCAAGCCCCCGAGTACCCGCATTTCCCTGACCTCTGACCCAGTGACCCCCAGGTCCTTGCCCAGTCACAGGTCAGCCTCCATCCCCACTAGTCAGCAGCCCTGCCATCCCGGGTGAATGCGACGCTGACCCCGGCCCTCACCGTCCTCAAAGCTGCAGTTCTCCCCGCACTCCGTGGCCTCCTCGTCAATGGGATACGGGGTGGTGGTCTCTTCGCTCCTCACGGTGGGTCCCAGGGTCTCCACGGTGGGCTTGGCATCTGCGTGAAGGCAAAGGGAGGGGCGTGAATGCCGCATTCAGCAGCTAGCACTGAAACGCAGCAGGAGGGAGAGGCCCCACACCAGGTTTCCTGTCTGAGTGTGGGCCCTCAGAGAAGGAGAAGAAAGGTGGGACACAGGCACCCTGAGGCCACCCCTGTGTGCCCACAATGATGTCGGGGTGTTGTCCGAGCTGAACAAAAATGGGCTCAAGCTGCAGAAACAGCCCAGACAGAGGCCCCACTACAAACCCCTGCTAAGGCCTTCGTGCCCAGCAGAAGCCCTGAGGCCGGCATGACGGCCACGCGAGACAGGGCCACACGAGACAAGAATGAATGTGGGTGACGCTGACCCGGAGGCGGGGCTAAGCCACACTCTGGGTGGTCCGTTAAGACAGAAGTGTGGGTGAGCAAACACACAAAATGAATGACGCTCATCGAAACCAGTTTGCATGCTTCTTGCTGCTGAACGACCTGAGCTTCTGTTCAGAGGAAACCTAGGGCCTACCTGTGCCCCTCCCCTCGGGTGGCAGCCGACATGCCTTCCCGCCTATCAGCCCCGCTTTTGCGTGAATACAGAACTTTTGGAACCAAAGCTCACCCCACCTGGGCGGCACAATCACCAAAGCCATAAGCAAAGCCGGTGCCTGGGGGGTGTGATCCCCGATACTGCTGTTCACGTTTGCACAAAAGCAACGGAAAGGACTGGGGCTTCAAAGGGCCTCAGGCTCCGCTTGGTGGGAATCATGTGGGGCTGAGCCTTCAGGAGCTGTACCTGTTCCTTGGCGCCATGTGTGTGATCAGGCGTCTTTGTGAGGCCCCTTCAGGATACCATGTAATAAACAATAAGGCGTGGCAGAGTCAAAAGCTTCCTAAATTCAATAGCTGCTGCCAGGCAGGCTGGGGGTTGGGGAGAGTCAAGGATGGGGCAGAAGGTGGCGCAGGGGACCTTGCCTGCCTGATTTAGGGGGCCACCAGGACTGGCTCCAGCTGATTGAGGCCCTGAGGGATGGGGGTGAGGAAGAGTGGGGAGGTGGCCAAGTGTGGCCAGATCTTGCAAAAAAAAAAAATCCCTCCCCGCCCCCAAATCCAAGAATCCCCATGGAAAACCTCCAGACTTATCCATGTTGGCAACTGATTCAAAATATTAAAATAACTAGAATGCAACAAAACCAGGCTGGGCCCAATCTGGCTGCAGGCAGTCAGTCTGACCTGGTGATTCATTCACCTCTCCATCCGCTTGTTTATTTGCTCACCCCAGTCATTCATTCAGCAACCGTTTGTGAAATGAATTAAACCGTGAGTCAGGCCCTTGGTGGGGCAAAAAGGAGTGCTGGTGACTGGTGTTCAAACCCATGTGTGCGGGGCGGGGCCTTCGTCCCAGAGCTGTGCTCCCACCAGACTCCCGGAGCACGCCCAGGCGTGGTTCCTCCCATTTCTGTACCTGTTCCTTGGCGCTATTGTGTGTGATCAGGCGTCTCTGTCAGGTCCCCTTCAGGATACCATTTAATAAAGCCAGGAGCTGAAGGAACTCGCTAAAGACGCTGAAATGCTTTTTCACGGTCGATTTCCCATCTTTCTGCTATTAAGTACTACGCACCTAACCTTTCAGACTCCCCTTCGCCGTGCCTGCCTCTTGCTCACAGTCAACAGCAAATAACCTCGAAGCGTCCTAATTTGTAAGTTCGAATTTGTCACCGTGTCACGGAATCTCAAACTCACTTGTACAGCAAACTCCAGGCAGCAAGGCAAGAAGTAATCATTGGGAACACACACCGACTAACAGGTGAAGCAGCCCTGTCCCATTACTTAGCGGCAGGGACCCGGCCCGGCCCATTCTTTTCCCTGGGATCCTTCTGGGGTAGGAATGGAAGGCATGAACCAAGGATGAGTCGCACAAACGGGTGTGCACGTGACAAGCCAGAGAGCCACGTGCCCTGGGAGAGCAGTTTCTGGAAATGTGAGGTAGCAGGGTGGGTCAGCGGGTCGGTGGAGATGAGGCTAAGTTGCAGGGGCACAGCGGGCCGGGGAGGCCACAGAGGGCAGGGCGTGTGGCTGACAGCGAGGAAACAGCAGCGGCCTCTGTGTCCACAGTGTTTGTACTGGGCGCTCCGAGGCAAGTGCCTGTTAAACTGCAATTGAAACCAGATGTCCGAGACTTCAAAGGGAGGGAGGGAGGCCGGGCAGAGGGTAACGAGCCCCAACTCTGCTCTTCGGAGGAATAGCCGGGCAGGACTTTGAAATGAGAAACCTGTTGCTGACCATCACCAATGTCATTTGGGCCAGGTTGGGGTCGGGGTGCAATACGTGGGGAAAGCCATTTGCCACTGTCCGGCCAGTCGGAGAGCAGGGCCAGCCGGGAGAGGCCCGGCCCAGGGGCCCGAGGACAGGACGGAAGTGTGAGCAAGCCCCCAGCGGGCTGAGCGACCTCTGCCGCTGGCTTCCTCTCTGGGACTCAGTTTCTTTATCTGTGAAAGAGGCGCTGGCTTCGATTTGTGATTTTCCCCCCAAACTGTATGCCACATGCATTAGTATGTTGTGGAATCAATTTACTGGGTCGTGACCAGCATTTTAAATATAGCAGCGATAACACTTCAGCGCGCACGCACGTGGTGAGGATCAGCACTGCTTTGGGAACCTTTTGTCTCAGTCGTACTTACTTATCCTAACAGGTTTATTAGGTGCTGGGCAGCAGTCTATGTACTTGATATCCATTATTTTGTGGAATCCTCATAATAACCCTAGGGGGTGTAGCTATTCCATGATCACCCCCGTTTTTCAGCTAAGATACCTGAGATGTTGAGGGCCAAGTAACATGTATGACTTACACTTGGCAATCTGTGGCCAGAGTCTAGGCCAGGGGTCCTCAAACTACGGCCCGCGGGCCACATGCAAATACAAATATTGTATTTGTTCCCGTTTTGTTTTTTCACTTCAAAATAAGATATGTGCAGTGTGCATAGGAATTTGTTCATAGTTTTTTTTTAAACTATAGTCCGGCCCTCCAACGGTCTGAGGGACAGTGAACGGCCCCTGTTTAAAAAGTTTGAGGACCCCTGGTCTAGGCACTCAATGGCACACTGTTCCCCATAGACACACATGTGTGTGCCTATGTGTGTATATGTGTGTGTGTATGTGTGTGTGTGCATACGTGCACTTGTAAATCTGGTGGGTAGTTTTATAAATTTATTTTAACTTGTGGAATGTGGTTAAAACCACTTGAAAGCCACTGGCCTAGGAGCCGCCGTTTTCAGCGCCTCAAATGGGCAGGTGACCCACATTCCTCAGAGACCTGGCCCGAGTCCTACCTAATGGGGAGTAAGTGTCTCCCCGCTAGATGTGCTCATGAGGACTGCCTGCACTCCGAGGGGGAGGGAGGCCGTCTGGGCCCGATTCCCACCTGCGTGCCGCCATGGCCCCCTCCTCTGCGCCGTCGCAGCGGGCACGCCGGAGGCACTTTTCTCCCTGGGAGCGGAGAGTACTCCTCCGACATGCCCTTATCAATCCTCCACAATCCCCTGCTGGTGACAGGCACAGCGCAGACAGAATGGAGATACCTGGGTGCTGGTGGAGGGGGCCGGGGGCTCAGCCCGCCTGCAGCTCGCTCCTGCTGGCCTGGGCTCTGGCCACCACAGCTCTTGGGGAGCGGGGAGGAGGGCTGGTGCCCAGGGGACAGGTGGGGCTGACTCAGAAGAACAGGGTGCTTCCCAGCGAAGGGTGGGCATGCTCAGGGGCCCCTCCTTGTGAAGGAGAGTTAAGAGGCGCTCCCAGGACCGGCTGCCTGGCGAGGGCGGGAATGAGCCATCTCCTGCCACACACTGGGAAGAGGTCCCAGCAACCGGGTCCCTCCTGAGCAAATGAATGCCTTTTACAGATGTGGCTTCGAAATGAAAACGAAGTCTCGTAGCCGCTGACATCTGGAGGCCAGATTCATGCATAAACCGATTACTTGATTATCATGAGGGGTTGTTTTTTCTCTCCCTTCCCTAAATCAACAGCCAAGCTCCCTGGCCTGAGGAGTCAGGATCTAATTGAATTTGGGTGGGTGGTGTGTGGTTGTGATTTGTTTTTGAGAGACTGGGGCTGGAGAGCTGAAATGATCCTTTAAACATGACAAAGTACCTCCCTTGAGAAACCCCCAAGAACAGAGGCTGAGCGCCCGTGGTCTGAGGCAGGAGAACATGGCAGGGCCCAGGGTGGGCAGGGCTGCAGCATTTCGCTGGAGAAGAATTCAACTGGGGAGGGGTGGCCCCTCTGCCCCATCCACGTCATGGTCTGACCACCCCCCCACCTACCCCCCCCCGGCCCCACTACCCAGGGCATCCTGAGGTGCCAGGGCCTTACCTGTCCAGTCACAGCCAAGCCCCTCCCGCCGCATCCCGACTCCTGCTGGCGACCACCTCTCGGGGTACACCCGCACGTACTGCGCAGGGACGGGGTCGAACCTTCGGATGTCAGGGGTGTCGTAGTGCATGTTCCCTTCAAACAGCTGCAGGGGAGACAGGCTGCTCAGCCCTTCTTATGGGGGACCCCTCCTCCATCAGCCCGCCTTCCCTTTCCTCCCCCTTCTCCTTCCCACCCTTCGCATCCAACAGAAGGCAGCGTCCTAGCTGCCTCGTGGTCGCTGGACATGACGGTCCCTGGGAGCTCCATTCTCAGGCCGAGGTTCGGATTCACTCAGAAGATGGTTAGAGGCCCAGACCACGGGAAGCGGGAGCAGGTCTGAGTGTCATTGCCAGGTCCCGCCTTCTATCCTGGGACTGAACTGAGCCCTCAGAAAAGAACTCGGCTCCGAATGAGTCTCACGCTGGACTTAGCCTCAGAGAGGAGAGAAGGGAGCTCAGGCTGCCTTGCCTGTTCCGAACTTTTCAGTTTATTAGGAATCAGACGTTCTAATCTAGTCCTTTTTCTAATGCTTGAAAGTCTAGTTGTAGAAAGTCCCAGTTGACTGACAGTCCAAGTTCACGGAGAGGCAGAAGGGAACGTGACCTTTGCAACACCTGGTCACACACTGATAGTCAGAGACTGTTCCCCAAACCTTTGCTTAGTGGAGGCAATTCTATCAAAAGAAAACTCGCCTGGAGCCCCAGTGCATAAAACGGAGGACAGAGGGGCCGCCCTGGTTGAAGTCGGGGCTGGGGGGAGGGGGGGAACACCCGACCCAGAGCACACCTGGGAGCCACTGGCTTAGGGGAAGGTGGGGTGGGGACAGTCAGGGGCTGTGGTGATCAGCATGGGGAATGCTGCAGGGTGTCTGTGTCCACAGCTCCCAAAGGGGCTCAGTCTCGGGGAGGGCAGGCTCTGCCACTGGTGAAGACCCTCTCTTTTCCCAGCCCTGCCCCCCCTCGCCCCCCCACTCTCGAGTGGTTAAGAAGAGCCAGGATCCAACTTCTCTACCCACCAAAGGTTCCGGTTACCGAGCCCTGAGCCTTTCCAGCCCCTGGAATGGCGAGCTGGGAGCTGACATCAGTATTGCAAACCTCCAACCCGGGCCTTGCCTCAGTGTCAAGAATGAGCACACTTGCTTAGTAAAGGGGCTGATAGGGACATGGGCTACCCCTTCCTGGTTAGGGGCTCTGCTCTTCAGAGGAAAACCAGGGGAAACTTAGACATGAGGTTGGGAAGGCCTGGCTAGCCGGGAAATTGACCTGGAGAAGAGAAACGATGTCTTCCCCCTCCTGGGGCTGCTCCGGGCCTGGAAGGCGGGCCTTCACGCCCCTGACGGCAGGGGCTGTCCTCCCTGCCTCGCCCAGCCGCAGTACCAGGCCGGAAAGATCTAAGAGTCCAGACTCCAGAACTACAAAGGAGGGCGGCCACATTCAGGAAAGCACAGTTGTTTTTGGAAGTAAAGCCCCTCTTTCTACAGTTTAGCCTCCAAAAACCACATCTCCTTTGGATGTCTGGCCAATTGGAAGGAAACTTTATCTGGGAGAGCGTACAAAAGGCGTCGAACTTGACCGTAAGGCGTTTGGGCTCTGGAGGCAGGCTCACGCCGGGGTCTGAACCATGGAACCACCATAGGGACACTGTGGGACCCGGGGCGTGCCACCGAGCCTCAGTTTGTCATCTCTAAAATGGGAGTGACCAAGGGTCTACCTTCTAAACATGGTGGAAGGATTGAAATAATAATAAGGATTAAAATAAGGCAGTTAGCACAGTGCCTGGCACAAAGTAATCTTTTAATGAGTATTCCTCATACTGGATTATAGGGATTTGGTGATGATTGTCTGGATGGGAAACCAGCACCCCAGACTTAAGGTTAGAGTCCTCCAGGCACCCCTACCTTTGGCTGCTGGGTCCTGGGGTCCTGGATGTATTCCCAGTCCTTGCCGTTCAGGCTGTAAGAGACTTTGAACTTGCGCACAAACGCCCTGGCCTCCACCGCAGTGATGCTGTCTCCTCCTCGCGCCCCCTGGACGATGACGCCCTTCACCGTCTTGGGCGCTCCCAGGTCCACCTGCAGCCACTCCTCACCGGGCTGGGCCTGAGGGATCCGGGGGAACCAGCCCGAGCGGCTGCTGACCAGGCGGGCGGCGCTGGGGCTCCAGAGGTACTCGCGGGTGGAGGAGGCGGAGATCTGCGCGTCTGTGATGAGGCCCGAGAGCATGCCCAGCATGTTGGAGCAGGGGGCGTCTGTGGGGAGGGGAGGAAGATGCAGGAGGTCAGGGCTGACACCACAGTCACTGGGGACACCCCATTAGTAGGCAGCTGTAAAAAAACCCAACTGGTATCAAACACTTGAAGTCAGCACGGATTTCTTTGCACTTCAAGGTAGAATGGTGCCGAGAGCCAGGCTGCCGGGGTTCATGTTTGCTCCGCCCCTAACTAGCTGCATGGCCTCGGACAAATGACTGAATTGCCCCATGCCTCAGTTTCCCCAGGTCTAAAGGAGGACTAACAGCAGTGCTCACCTCTTGAGGGTTGCTGCGAGGGTTCCGTTAGTTACTGTATGAAAGCTCACAGCCCAGAGCCTGACGTGCCGAAGCATCTAATGCTGTTCGCCAAGGACTCTCAGATCATTGTTGGTGACACCAGCTCCTGCTGCCCCAAAGGCTCTTCCCCTCTGTCACCACCGGGCTAACCTTTCCTCACCCCCTAAAGGTACATGTCACAGCCTCGGAAAGGCTGTCCCCAAACTTCCAACCAAGTTAATGAGGTCCTTCTAGTCACTCCTGCTCGGAGCCCCTGTTCTTTTTCTCCAGACACCCATCTTCGTTTCGAATGGTCCAGCACTTGTCTTTGCTAATTACCTATCTTGCCCACTAGCCCGAAAGCTCCCTGATGTCAGAGGCCCCATCTGCTTAGCTCACTTCTCTGGCCACAGCTCCCAGCATGGGGCCTGCACACAGCAGGCCTTCGGTAAATATTTCTGGAGCACATGAGCGAGTGGAGAAGGCGGATCCTCTGTCAGTGCGCTTTAGATGCCTGGACACTGAATTACAGACCCTCCAGGTGGTCCCAACTCTTCAAATCCACTGGTTCTCTCTTTTCAATTTTCCAGAAAATGAGTTTTCACTGAGTCCTCGCTGGGCGCCTTGTGCAAAGTGAAGGGACAGAAAACCGTCCCCTAGGTGGTTAGGATGCACACGCCCCTTAGGCAGCGGTTCTCAACCTGTGGGTCGCGACCCCTTTGGGGGTTGAATGACCCTTTCACAGGGGTCACCTAGGACCATCGGAAAACACATATATAATTACATATTGGTTTTGTGATTAATCACTATGCTTTAATTATGTTCAATTTGTAACAATGAAAATACATCCTGCATATCAGATATTTACATTATGATTCATAACAGTAGCAAAATTACAGTTATGAAGTAGCAATAAAAATAATGTTATGGTTGGGGGTCACCACAACATGAGGAACTGTATGAAAGGGTCACGGCATTAGGAAGGTTGAGAACCACTCATCTAATCCATCCTCCACATTGTACCCCTGGGGTCTCGGCCCACATTCCCTGGCCGCCCTCTCACTTTCTCTCTTGGTCCCTCTGCCCCTGTGCCGTTGAGCAAACTGTGACCACTCCCTGTGGACTTTCCCTCTAGTCTGTAAGGCCTGTGTGGTTTACCACCCTGAACGCACCCCATCTTGTCTGGTCTCGGAAGTTGAGCAGGGTCGGGCCTGGCTAGTACTTGGATGGGAGGCCTGTTTGCCCGTTGCCCTCAGCTCAGCCACCACTTCCTCAAGGAAGTCCTCCTCCCTGACCTCCAAGACTGGGGCAAGTCCCCTACAGTGTTCTTTAGCATGGTTTTATTTACCTTTATTTGTGGGTTTATTGGTTTATGACTATGTCTTCACAACTTGTCTGGCTATCCCCCCAGAGTTGGGTCTGTTGTGCTCATCCCTGTACTCATAATGCCTTGCATAGCTCTAGGTCCCCAGTTGAGGCAGCAGAAAGTGTTATTTGTTTTGTTTTGTTTGTTTGTTTTTTGTTAATCCTTACTTGAGGATACTTTTCCATTGATTTTTAAAGAGAGTGGAAGAGAGAGGGAAAGACAGACAGAAACATTGATGTGAGAGAAACACATTAATTGGTTGCCTCCTGCACAAGCCCTGACCAGGGCCTGGGCTGTGGAGGGGTCTGTAACCAAGGTATGTGCCCTTGACCAGAATTGAAACCAAGACCCTTTGATCTGCAGGCTGACACTCTATCCCAAACCAGCTAGGACCAGAAAGTGTTATTTGAGAGCCAGACTCTTAATTCAAACTGCCTAGTTTCAAATCCTGGCTCTACCGCATAGTGCTGGGGGGTGTGGGGGGGGGGCGTGGGGACCTAAATCTCCAAGTCTTGGTCTCCTCATCTATGAAATGGAGAGACTAGGAACACCTGCCTCATAGAGCACTTCTGAAGGCTATGGAAGAAAACACACCCAAGTGCTTGGCATGGAGCCTGGTGCCTCAGCATTCAATAGATGTTGGCTAGTGGAGACAGCAGATGTTTAATAAACACCCCCTGAATGAAGAGCGGGGGGCTGCTAGGACCTGAGTCCCCGAGCCACTCCTTCCCGGAAGGTCATGTGGTGCAATCCTGGGCTGAGAGACAGCAGAGCCAGGACACAATCCGCTCCCAACCTCCCCGGGACACCACCTCACCTGTGACCCGGCAGCCGAAGAGCTCCAGCCGGAGGGCGATGCCCGCGTGCCAGGTCTGAGGGCGGACCCTGACGAACCTCGTGAGCAGCGGCATGTGCAGCCTGTTCAAAACCACCTCCGTGGGGTCGCTGTTGCCCTGGAACACCTGTGACAGAGGACGAAGAACCATGTGAGTCACATCCCCACGTGTAGCGAGGCCCCGTGCGCAGCCCTTGAAGGGGGTGGGAAAGTTCTGTTGACCGTTATTTCCCTCCGGTTTACAAATAATCAGTGGGCTTGTGGTTGGGGGCTTTTTGAGCAGCGCCATGAAAAACAACGTTAATGTCCCACAGAGCTCTGGCTTGAAAACAAAGAGGGGTCTTCGCACACACTTTGGGAGGCAAAGAAAATGTTGCCCCTGGGCTGAGAGTGGGCAGAGGAAGGCGCCTGGAAAAGGAAAACATGTCAGAAGCTGAGGGAGAGGGAAAAGAGTGGGGTTTCCTTTAAAAATGGAGCAGAAATGTCCTCTTTTAGGGCCAATGGACCTCACCCGCTAGCTTGAACTTGACTCTCCCCTTTCCTCGTGTTGCAGGCGCCTGGCGCTATTTGCAGGGTGTTTAATGATGATCTGCCGTTTTCCTTAGTTACTTAGAGGCCTCCTTGTGCCACGAACGAAAGGGTGAAAGGGTGGGGGGCCCCGTCTAGCCCCGTACCCCTGTGTCAATCAGCATGTTCTGGGTTCTCCTGGCCTTTGTTGTGGGGTCAGGGTTGCAGACGGTCCCCTCCGAGCCCTGCCCTGGCTTCCTCTCACTGTGGTCCCCGCCCTGTAATGAAATCCATCCCTGTCCCCATCTGACCAAGGCGCCTCTGATGGGAGGAAAGGCTTTTTGGAAGAGCTTCTAACCCAACATGGTGGGAGCAAGTCCTGGCCTACCAGATGGCCCGAATCAATAGCGGCCATATGGACCTGATGCTTTTGTGGGTGTGCGCTCCACAGAAAACAAAGTAGCTGGGGCAAGTCTATGTGAGTTCCTCTCGGTTTCCTGGATAAGGGTGGAGGGAAAGGCCAACTAACCAACCACCACTTTTAAATCATGCCTGTCATGGCTGTAACAACCATGTGAGTGTAAATCCACTCACAGCCGACTCTGCAGCAGCGAGCAGTTTCTCCTGGGTGGGGGTCAGGGATAGATGCTTCAGGTCGTGATACCTGGGCCATGCCAGGGGGTCACTGACAGGCTGGACACTGGTACATCTGAATATGAACATCTTCGAGCCAGACACTCTGTAAAGACAATTATGCCCACAACACCACGGGGTCAGGTATTACTAGTCCCACTTTACTGATGAGGAAACTAAGGCTAGGAGAGGACTGCCTGGACCCAAAGGCCTTGCCATGTTTTTAGGCCGCGGTCTCTTAGGTGGACTCGCATCTCTTTGGACACATGTGCAGCATTTAAGTTGGTGGCTAGGAGTCCTGGAGCCTGAAGGTCTCCAAGTGCGGATTCGATGAGGTGGAGCGGCTGTTCCCAGTGTGTTTATAATCCCAACTGAGAATGCTCTGGGTAACAGCAAAGAGCGGCCAGAAGCTCAGAACCAATGAACAGCCAGGAAGTGAACGTAGGAGCCCTGCCGTCAGGCAACCTGGACCCCGCCATATTTCCTGCTTGCTCAGGTCCAAGGTGAGAGCCACTTAATACACAGCTCCCCACTGATGGCGAGGGTGAAGGGCTAAGAGATGTCACATCTTCTGCAACCAAATGAGAAGTGGCTTGCTTAAGACAGAGGAAAGGAGAGGAAGAAAGGTTTCACCAGCCCAACACATTCTGTTTAAATCTCTTGTTCTGGGTGCTGAGCCCACGGACTCCTGGGAGCCTCCCTCTGTCCTGGTCCTAAGGTAGCTAGTCTCCCCCTCAACTGCCTTGCGGGTCACAGGAAGGCCAGAGGCAGGTCTGCTGGACACTCACATAGCCCAGGTCCGCTCTGGCTGCTTGATGCTCCGTGACTGAGGATAAAGAGGGGGGAGAAGAGACAAAGAAGGGCCAGGGAAACCCACGGAAAGAGGGGAGAGCCGGGCAGCTGGGAGAAGTTCAGAGAGAGGTGGAGAGGGAGGCCGAGGCTCTTCATCTCAGAGAGGGATGGCAGGAAGGAGGGACTAGGGCCCAGGAAGGTCTGGCCTCCCCAGGCCCTTCCCTTGGCCTCCTGGGTGCTGAGAGAGGGCTCCGTGGCTCCGAGGAAAGGGACAGGTGAAGAGGCCGCATTCGGGGAGATCCATCAGATCTCCGAGGCTTCGCGGGCGGCAGAGGCTGGTTGCCTTTGCGCTGTTTGGCAAGAAGCGAGGGCAGCACTCTGCTGATTTCAGTGGGTGCTGTGGGCAGTGGGGGCCTCCACTGGCCAGCTCCCTGAGGGCGGTGACAATGACTGTGTGTGGCCTCCGTCAGGAGATGCTACAGAGTTGGAGGGGTGGGGCTTGATGGCCATGTGAATACATAATTGGGGTGGTGTGTGGAGTGGATTCAAACTTTAACCCAGCTGCAATCCACAGTACCCACACGCTGGTCGTGTTTAGAAACACAGCACATCACATATGTTCTGAATATCTGACCCCGTCATTGCTCAGCTTGGGCAGATAATACCAAGGAAACTTTCTTCCCGCCCCCTCAGTTAGGAATGACTGTCTCTGGACTGCCTTTGGGAGGCTGGTGTGTGTGTGAGTGTGGCTGCATGTGTGTGCACTTGCGTGTGTGCATGCATTGCTCAGCTTGGGCAGATAATACCAAGGAACCTTTCTTCCCTTCCCCTCAGGAATGATTGTGTCTCTGGACTGTCTTTGGGAGGTTGGCATGTGCATGAGTGTGGCTGCATGTGTGTGCACTCGCGTGTGTGCATGTCCAGGGAGAAGGTTGGCTTTCCCATGACGTATGTTCTCACAGGCTTGGAGGGAGCACCGCCAGGTCTCTGCCCACAGTGACATCAGCCAGAGGGAGGCACACACTTGGTTTACCTGCCCCAGGCCATCACCCTGGCTGCTCACATTGAATGTCCCTCTGCTGCTCCATTTTCTCAGCGTCTCCCTCCCCGGGACCAAATGAGGCTCATCCCACGTGGCCTCAAATGACCCTTCACGTTTCTGAGCCCAGTCCCTTCTTGGATTTTTGTTTGCTCTTGACCTTGTGCTTATATTTGCCCCCTGTAATTTGGACCCTTTGCTGAAGGAATACCATATTACTTTATGAAACTATTCATATACTGTCCACTCTGAATGTGGCATAATAGGGGGGGAAATCCCAAAACACCCACCACCACTGAACTGGGATTCAGGAGACAGATTCTACTGCTAATTAGCTCAAAAGTGTGGGCCCCGACGTCCTCCTCTATTCAAGGAGGGGATTGTGTGAGTTGATTTGTAAGGTCCTTTCTGGCTTCCTTCACAAGAGTTTTCCTATCCAGCACTGCCTTGGGAGTGTCCACTTCGTAACAGGGCACCATAGTTACCCTGTGTTCCCTGGAGGCTCAGAGCTTTTGTGGACAAGCGCTGTGGGTTTTCATACACTTACAGGGATGCCAGAACACACGTGGTGAGCACCCCACTCACAGGGAGAGTCCACCTCGCTGATGTTTTGGTTCAATAACAGTTCGAATTATTAATAACAAAGAGTAATAAATAACCACACCTTACTCCTTACATATTGTCTTTTGCCCAAAGCTATCCAAGTGCCATTTATGAAAATCCATTTTTAATGACATATTAAGCACTTTCTCTTCCTCCTGACCCAATGGATTTACAAGGTCTCTATTTTTCTCCCCACCTCTCCCTATTTATAGCTGGTAAATGCGATCATATATTATACATCTTTATGACTTTCTCAATGCTTCTGTGGTTTCCGAATCACCCGTCATCTGTTTTCTGATCAAATTCTCTGAGATGGATTCTTGGCTTCCAGTCTAGGCATTGCAAGGTAAGGAGTTGTGTGCACCGGAAATGCTGCCAGGAAATTGGTTTTATTCCCCATTCCCTGCCGACTCACTGAATCACTACAGGCAAATCAATAAACCTTAGATACCTTGGTTTCTCCTTCAGGAAAACGAAGTCGCTAACAGGCTTGCAGATAGATGCTGCTAAGCCTACCAGCCCTCCTGCCGGCTCCATTGCCTGCACTACACCCAGGGCAGATGTCAGAGTGGAAGCTGCGTCACAAGTAGCAAGCGGGTCTTTGTTACATCGGAAGTGTTCCAGTTCTGAAAGCCATCGACTCCCAAGTGGAACCTCGAGGCCAGAAATTTTCAAACCATCACTTCGCAGTGAGATGTCCCCGAGGCTGAGGAAGCTCTGTGGGTTGTCAGCATGCGGTACACCCAGCGAGGCCTGTATCCAATGCGATGATGAAACGACAACATCTGCTTTAAAAGCTGGATGTCACAGATGGTACACACTTTTGTCAACTTTAAAAGAAAAATGCTGGTATGGTTGCCTTACTACCCAAAGGAAAACCAGAAATAGGCTCAAGGTGACCCTCGCTTCCTGAAGAAGTGGGAATAGAAAAAAACAAACCTATATAGGATATAGCTATAGAAGCTCTGTTGAGCATAAAGATTTCTTCAAACGTATCTCTGTAAAACCACGTCTGAAAAACAATTCAGGGCACAAAGTGGTTTGGATAATCCATTTGGTGCCTCGCTGAATGCTGAACATAATCCAACACTTTCCAATTGATTCTTGAGACCTTTGGTTTATTTTCCGTGAGAGAGAATCTGAAACCAGCAGCACCTCGTGGATTTTCTGATTTGCACCTCTGGGTGAGGGGGCACCTGCCAATTACGCTGGCTGCTATCCAACAACCCAGTTGTATTATTATCTATACTGTGCCCCGTCCAAACCAGGAAAAGAAAATCAACATGTTTGACCATGCCTGAGAGCTCATAGGCATGGACGGTGTAATACTATGTAAAATATAGGGCATTATCTATATAGAAATATTGCCCCAGAAAGCATCACTCTACTGCAGTGACTTTGGCTGAGAACAGTGAGTGTTTCGGCCTGCCTACCTCGGAGGCCTCTGGCCTGGGGGATTTCCTGCCGGGCCTCAGTCCCTTTCTTTTTCTTTTTTAAAATATATTTTTATTGATTTCAGAGAGGAAGGGAGAAGGAGAGAGAAATAGAAACAT